CAATATAAAATATATTTTTAAAAAGTACAAAGTTCGGCAATACATCAAAACAAGTAAAATATATAATCGAAGTAAGAATATAGGTATGTCAGCAAGCTGCCAAGTTTTTTTTTTTCTTTCCCTTTTCTCCATGCGCATTCCTTCCCCTGCACTTAATTGCCGTTCTGCTGCACTGGGTATCTTTCAAGGCCGTGGGAGGAGTCGCTGAGATCATTGCTTTGGCTTTAGTCAGGATGAGCCGTGGGAAGCTCGTACCTGTTTTGCTTTGGGTAGCAGTTGGTTCTCAAGCCTCATGGCACGCGCGGGAACCATAGTAATTGGATGTTGCTGATATGAATGTACTATAACCTTCCATGCGCATAGTTTACCTGTCATTCCTAACAGTGTTCCTGTCCATGCATCTATAGCTTCAAATAAAGTAAAACCTTCCTGCAAGTGTGTACTTCATTGTTGCTGTGGGTCCTGACAAGGTTTCAAAATCGGGTTTCTCAAATGACACATTCTAAAAGTACAGTCATTTTGTCGCCTCATCTCTAATTTTCCTTGCAGCATGAGCACAGAGTGCCATTCTACAGGAGATTGTGGGATTGACGTCCGACAGCAAAAAGATTACTATTTCAAGGCCGGATGTGGATTGTAAAGTTGTTAAAACCTGGGTTAAGAAATTTGATTCTGGGACCAGTCTACAGAGAGCCACCTACCCTGAAGTTCCCTTGCTCGAAAGCCAGTCGAATCCGACTCTAGGGTTGCGGTGCTCATCTCCGTTTCAAAGCCGAAGAGGCAGCGCTGTCCGAAGACATTTCCGTGGTCATGTGGCCGGCATGACTAAACACCAATGTTACCTTCCCACCGAAGTGGTCCCTATTTATCTACTTGCAATTTCTTGCTTTCGAACTGCTAGGTTGGCAGGAGCTGGAACTAGAGACAGGAGCTCACCCTGTCTTGCGGCACCCGGGTCTTGAACTGCTGAACTACTGACCTTCCACAGCCTGCAGTTCAGCGTCTTAGCCACTTGAGCCACCACAGCTCCCACCTACCCTGAATCTGTCCCTAAAATTTCTGAAAATCTCCTATCCTTGTTATATCTCACACACACACAGCTGTACTCACGCTGGCGACTCCGGGAAGAAGGTTCTGCAGATGGCTGCGCTGGAGAGCCAAGGACTACCTGTAGACTCAGGAGGGACCTGTGGATGACAACGGAGAAAGAGAGGAAGGGGGGCGGTCTTGGAAAGAGGAGACTATTAACACAGGTAAAGATGCCTAGTCCTAGATGGCCCAGGCTAGCCTGATTTCATCAGATCTCAGAAGCTAAGTCTGGTGTCGTGGTTAAGTGCACGGACTCTAATCTGGGAGAACCGGGTTTGATTCCCCACTCCTCCACTTGCAGCTGCTGGATGACCTTGGGCAAGCCCTAGTTCTGTCAGACTCTGGGAGAACCGGGTTTGATTCCCCACTCCTCCACATGCAGCTGCTGTGTGGCCTTGGGTCAGTCAGAGGTTCTCTCAGAGCTGTCCTCTCAAGAGCGGTCCTCTCAAGAGCTCTCTCAACTCTGCCTACCTCCCAAGGTGTCTGTTGTGGGGTGGGGAAGGGAAAGGAGACTGTAAGTCGCTCTGAGACTCTGAGTGAAGGATGGAGTATAAATCCAGTCTCCTCCTCCTCTTTCTTCTTGAGGGGATGTCATGTAGAGGCACACAGAGAACCTTGCCAGACCGACCTCCCAAAAGCCTTACCTGAGCAGGTGAGGAGGGAAGGTCTGCCTTGCTGCTATTCTCATCCGGCGGACTGCAGATCCGGATGAACGAGAGGCCGAACTGGGCGTGCTTGTTGAAGGGCTGGCTGCAGGTCAGCCTGATGCGATCCCACTTCTCCCCCAGCGCTGCGGCCAGGAAATCCCCTGTAGTACGCAGGCAAAGGAACACCAAGATAGCATCACTAGGCCTGGGCTGTGGGAGCCCAAGGTGCCCAGGCTATGCAGGCGAACAGGGCCCCCCTCCTTGTTTCCTACTGTAACGATTCCTTGTTTCTGTGTGTGTGTCTCTGCCGTGGTAGATAGACTAGAGTGGTTGAGAGAGGCAAGTGTGGTATGATTGGTGGTTGATAGAGAGGGGGAGGGGTTTTGGAAGTGAATCTGGATCGATGAGTATGTGAGTCAGTCAGGAGTTTCAGTTAGATGTTGACAGTTGATGTTCGGGAGACAGAGAAAGAGAGCTGGAAGCTGAGTTTATAGGAAAAGTAAAGTCAAGTTTAAGTGAAGAAAAGTTAAATTCTTGATTATTTGAGTTTTTCATTCTTCCTAAAATGCATTTATTTTTGAAAATTGGTGGGCGCGGGGGGCGGGGGGGGGCGGCGCCAGAAGGGATCCTCGCCTAGGGTGCAAAATAAGCTGGGGTCGCCCCTGCAGAGAACCTTGCCAGACCGACCTCCCAAAAGCCTTACCTGAGCAGGTGAGGAGGGAAGGTCTGCCTTGCTGCTATTCTCATCCGGCGGACTGCAGATCCGGATGAACGAGAGGCCGAACTGGGCGTGCTTGTTGAAGGGCTGGCTGCAGGTCAGCCTGATGCGATCCCACTTCTCCCCCAGCGCTGCGGCCAGGAAATCCCCTGTAGTACGCAGGCAAAGGAACACCAAGATAGCATCACTAGGCCTGGGCTGTGGGAGCCCAAGGTGCCCAGGCTATGCAGGCGAACAGGGCCCCCCTCCTTGTTTCCTACTGTAACGATTCCTTGTTTCTGTGTGTGTGTCTCTGCCGTGGTAGATAGACTAGAGTGGTTGAGAGAGGCAAGTGTGGTATGATTGGTGGTTGATAGAGAGGGGGAGGGGTTTTGGAAGTGAATCTGGATCGATGAGTATGTGAGTCAGTCAGGAGTTTCAGTTAGATGTTGACAGTTGATGTTCGGGAGACAGAGAAAGAGAGCTGGAAGCTGAGTTTATAGGAAAAGTAAAGTCAAGTTTAAGTGAAGAAAAGTTAAAGGAAAGTCTGAGTGTCAAATCAAACTGGAGTGAAACAGTGAACACATATGGCACTGAGATAAACAAGGGTTACAAAGTTACATGAGAAGATCCCTGTCAGTGAGGGATAAGATTGAGTGTGATACCAAAGCAATTGTACATCATTTACACATTACTAGTTACATTGTATCACCCTCTTATTTAGTACTTATTTCAATAAATCCTCTTTTATTCAAGTTTACACCAGCTCTAAATGAAATACTTCCCAGGACCACATAGTTCCTCGTAAGCCTTGAACTCGGCCTACCAAACTAGTAAGAGCAAAAGTAAAAGCATAAAGGTTTGGAAATCCTTAAAATTTCCTGGTGGCAGCAGATTCTACCCAGTTAAGCGAAATAAAGAGAACTTTTAAAGTGAAAATAGACCTCCCGAATAACACCTACCTTCTTTGAACATCCGGACCCCGGAACGATTCTTGTCCAGCTTGGCATCAGCTGGCACCATCAAGGTGGCGGTGGGCAACAAGGTGAGGTAACTCTGCCCTGCAGGCCAAGAGGAGCGGCCCACGTCGATCTGCAGGAAGGCGGAGCCGCAGTTCCCTGGGTCCCATAAACAGAAACCAAAACGGTGCAATGGAGGCTGAGTTCAGACCGACGGTTTGATGCGGGAGGGAGTCTTCTTTTGAATATCTTTTCCCCCCCGTTAATAATTAATTTTATTAAAAGATAAGTCAAGTATACATAAACAAGATCGCTGTTTAAACATTAATACAAACTGTAAGGGCAGATACATATATCACCATGCCGTCTATTAACTTGTCAGCAGGATCTCCCTATGACCATATCCTTGTCACTTTCTTGTGATTTTCCAATTATTCTGCTATTACTAAAGTAATAACGTATAATAAATCCAGATATATTTTAGAAGGACCTCTTAATTCAAGATATAGCATTGATGAAAACGAAGTCAAAATTACTGAATTAGCCACCACATTAATAGCCACGGCATGGCTTTCTATTGCTGCCTCATGGAAAAACCCTGATCCTCCTTCCATTGCTCAATGGAGAAATAAATGTTGGGACCACTTTGTGATGGACAAAGTAGCAGATAAATATGAGTCCCACACACAAGGATATGTGGGGTCCTCTTCCAGATTCATTCGAAAATGGTGTCTTCTCATAACATATTGTACAGAAAACGATGTATTACCAGGAAATACTGGCTATGCAGAATGGATACATCTATGAGAATTTTTTATGGTCTGATGCAGGAGGGAGTTGTGGCAAAAAAGAGCCGGAACATACCGGGAGAAGGCGCGAGGGAGCGTTCGCACTGTGGGCCCAGAGGCGCAGCTGTCAGCGGTGTTTTCCTCGTGGCAGATGCCTATGCATGGGTGCCTAGGCGTGGCAGTGCTTTTTAACTTTTTATGATTGCTCTGCTGCATTCTGTATTTTGTAATGGCCAGTGGCTTAATACAATAAATCTATTGATTGATGGACTCTTGCTCTTTTCTACTTATTTAGGGTCTGCCTTTGTCCTTGGGACTCAAGGAAGATTTCACAGAACAAATCAACACAGTCAACACACACCAGATGTGAGGCACAGCTTAAGTATTTACATGACCCACTGAACAAAAACAAAAATTACACAGTAGGCCCCTACCCGGGCGCCTACCTATGTCAACGTAGCCAATGGGGCTCGCTTGTTCCAGCTGCAGTTCCACTTTCAACACCCGGCTCCTGTCCTGAGGACAACTGAGCCAGGGACGGGGGCCTTCTTCAAGCAGCAAGTTGTCCACTGGGTACTTAGGATCCTGTCCCAAAAAAAGAAAGGCATATCTGAGCGGCAAACAGCTTAACACCGCCTTCCACGCAGGTGCTTCGGCAGGTTTTGTTGCCTGGTTTACTCTCAGCCTTCTGCATTTCCCTTGTACCCGCTGTATCGATACACAATGGGACTGTCACAGCTACAGCAACCCCTTCGGGTCAACCGTGCTGGTTTAAAGAACAGGTTGCACAACACAAGTACAAATTACTCAAGGAAGTCTAAAACCTCCTTAAGCATAAGGTAGTCTGCCACCAGGTCCTTTAGTGGTTCCCAACAGATCTGGAATAAAAGACCAAACTTCCAGACTGGCTATGGAACTTAATACACAAGGTCAGTCCTGCAGAGTAGTCCACAGACTGAGCTAAAAGACAAAAGGTATTTAGTAGCAGTAGTCCACGGTCCAAGGCAACAGGTTTAGCCTTTGAAGTTTAAGAAGCACAAATGCCATGACAGAGTAAAAAATATTTATTGATTTATTATTTTGATTTATACCCCGCTCTCCCCGCAAGCGGGCTCAGGGCGGCTTACAGCGTTGGTACCCTGGACCATAAAAACCATGTACAAAATTTAAACAGCATTAAGCATTAAAAACAATCCAACCATTAACAATTAAAGTGCTAGTGATGGTACACTTTTGATGGTAATCTCTAAATGACTCAGATGGCGTGCGAACAATTATCATCGGCATCGGTGATCTTCAGCTTGGTGCGATGATGTGACGCAAACCCTCCCCAGGACCACAGTCAACCCAAACCACGGATGTTGGTGGTGGTGGAGGAGTGGCGGCTCCTAATTGAAAGCCTGGTGGAAGAGCTCCGTCTTACAGGCCCTGCGGAACTGCAAAAGGTCCCGCAGGGCCCTGATCTCTTCCGGGAGCTCATTCCACCAGTGTGGAGCTGCCACCTGGTGGCCGCAAGCCTGGTGTCCTTAGGACCAGGAACGGTCAGTCGATGTTGTGTTCTTGACCGTAGTGCTCCCTGGGGTATATATAATTTGTTTATTAATGTGCTAACTCAATCTAAAACATAAGACTTTAGCAGTGAAGGAAAATAAGAGCTTTCTGCTTCACCAGCATAACTAATACTTACAAAAGCCGTTGCAAAGGTATTATTCCAAGGTTCAAGGAGTTACTATAGTCTACGATAACATGATGTTTCAAGTATAGCCCATCCGGGTGGAATCAAGACATGATGCCAGGTTGTAGGGTTGCTCTGGGACTATTGGCCTGGCGAGGCTGCATAATCCCAAAGCAGCACCATAGCACAGACTGAAGCCTTATTTTATAGAAGAAAAGGGGTTTCTGACCAGTCTAGGCCTTTGACCAGTCAGAGACCAGCAAAATGATGTAATCTTCTCTTTCTTACTAAGGCAAATGATTAGGCCTGCCAAATCTCGGCGGGGGATCTGTATGTCTTCACAGAATCCTTGCCGCAGGGACAGCGAGACGCGTTGCACCGCCGTCGCCAGGACATGACGCTAAGCGTAGCTCTGCCAACGGGGCTGTCCCCGCGGCAAGGATTCTGTGAAGAGCTACGATCCCTCGCCGCGACTTGGCAACTCCACAAATGATATCCCATAATACTTCTAAGTAAGAGAATCGAAACCTGTACTGCAGCCAAGGGTCCCATACTCCAACACACAGGTGTTAATCATTCTGGAATGTGCTAATCGGTTGATTGCTCTCAGGCCGGCAGGAAGCAGTACGGGCAGCTGCAAGCAATCAAGGTCACAGCGCTTCTTCGTTATCTGAGTCTCTAGGGCCCCGGTCACACGGCCCGGATATCGGGAGGGGGGCGTGGCTAATTGTCCCGGCGCAGTTTGATCCGCGATTACGCGATCAGACGCGCCTGCGGCACACCACGGGTCCTTCCCTCGGTGCCGGCGCGATCGCAGTGGAGCAGTGGAACAAATTTAGAGTCCACTGGCACTTTTAAGAGCAACAAAGTTTTATTCCAGATGTGAGCTTTTGTGCGCACGCACACTTTTTGAAATACATTCCAATGTATTTGAAAAAGTGTGCCTGCACACGAAAGCTCACACCTTGAATAAAACTGTGTTGGTCTTAAAGGTGCTGCTTAAGTCTAAATTTGTTTTTGTATACCTGTTATGGAAACAAAGGGATGTGCATCTTTGTCTGTAATTGTGTATGTGTTTCGTGGCTTGACATTCCAAGGCCACGGTCACACAGGCCGGATACCGCGTGGGGGGGGTCCGAGGCCCCCGTGCACCAGGCCGGGTATCGCGGGGGGGGGGGGGGAGGCGTGGTTAATTGCCCCAGCGCAGTTTGATGCGTGATTACGCAATGAGACGTGCCGGCGGCAAACCACGGGTCCTTCCCTCGGCGCCGGTGGGTAAACGAGGGACCGGAGGGGAATGGTGCGCGCTGGCGCGATCATACCACGGGCGTCTGGAGGCAGCCTGTGGCAAACGTTTACTAGTACCTTGGAGGTACTAGTTTTTTAAGACGCATTGTCGGCGGTAAGCCACCGGTGCGCTCCACTTCCCAGATGTTGGGGTGTGATCGCGCCCGGATAATCCGCCCACCATCCGTGCCTCTCCCGCCGCAACTTTGCCGTGTGACCGGGGCCTAGGGAAAGTTTTTATTACAAACACCTTCTAGGCCTCTAAGCCTGAACCAAGGATTTCATGCAAAGCAAGGGAAAAAATGGCTTTTCATGACAGGGACAGTCCCCTATTCAGCACTGGAAACCGCCCTCAGATTCTTCTCGCCAAAAATCATGCTCCCACCCCTCAAGGCCAGAGACAAACTTGAAAATGTGGAGGCAGTACCCAGTGCAATCGCCAGAGAGATTCAGCGTCAGCCACGCTGAGAGGCATACCCTCGTCTGATGGTCCATCTCCTCTGCTCAGACAAGGTCAGTTTTTGCAACACCCAAGGAATCAGCTCGGCCAAGCCATCTTCCTGACACATTAACTAAAGTTTTTACTTCAAAATGATAGTTAATTCATTTAAGCGGACTAGCTATCTTATAGCTCACACAGAAAGGTACTTTTTATACTCTGGGCGCAGCTTGTTTAGTAGATTTCTTCTACAACAAGTGGCAATGGCTTTACTACAACCTTTAATTCAACGATGCTGTCAGCTATGCAGCTGCCATGGCTGGGAGGAGGGGGGGGATTAGCAGCTGTCTCTGTCTTGGAATTTTGTGGTTTCTCCTTTACTCCCTTATCACTCTGTAGCCTGCAAGGGTGACCTTGGTACCTTGTTGCTCCTGTCTCTGGGAATATATACCCGTTAGCTTAGGCGGGCTTTTGCCTAGCCCGATTATTTATTTATTTAACTTTCGGTTTCTAAACCGCTCTATCACGGAGGCTCTGAGTGGTTTACATAGCATATTAATACTCCTAACTAGGGCCACACAGTATTGGGAAGGTGAATGCCTAGGGCCATCTACTGACCCATTTGAATTAGGTATATCCCCCTGCTGTGCGCGCTTGGCCTTTATCCTGACACTGAACATTTTTTGAACATTTATCAACCAATTAGGGTAAGAAGGGCTGGTAATGATGCTACCTCTGTCTGTAAGGCCACTGATTGCTGCGGGACTCTGACAGATGGGCTTCATTAATACTTAAAATGGCAAAATACTTCAAATGTGTCAATACATTGGAGATTTTAAACTTAACCGACTATACACCCCCTTTATGCAGCCCCCCCCTTTTACTGAATATAACAGGCTAACAAGGCGCTTTGGTTACCTGAGACGTGAAGGACACGACATGTTTAATTTTCACTGGAGCCATTTTGTAGCTTCGAACAAATCTCTGTCATTTGCTTAGACCGATATTTCTCTTTATGGGAGTCATTGATCCACGGTTCCAATAGACGCTGGAGAAGGAAATGGGCATTATTCATTCTTATAGATCAGCTGTCTCTGCATAGGATTGACAAAATCCCTAACTTTTCCGAAGGTGAAGACAGAGAGGTGAAAGATGTGAAGATAGTTTGGGATATCAGTATGTAGGCTATGTTTACTCAGACGTAAATTCAATTCTTTTCAACTGGACTTGTTTCCAAACATGGGAGGATCCCAACTGTGAAAGTACCATTAAGGCAAACTACAGACAAGCTCATGGGCCTGGATCGATCAACAGCTACTGGGCATGAGACGAAGAAGAAGAGATTGGATTTATACCCTGTCCCTCACTACCCAAGGGAGTCTCAGAGCGGCTTACAATCTCCTTTCCCTTCCCCTCCCCACAACAGATACACCCTGTGAGGTAGGTGGGGCTGAGAGAACTCTTGACACAAACTGCACTTTGTCAAGAACAGCTGTGCCAGAACTATGGCTTGCCCAAGGTCATCCAGCAGGTGCAAGTGAAGGAGTGGAGAATCAAACCCGGTTCTCCCAGATTAGGTTTACAATCTCCTTCCCCTTCCCCTCCCCACAACAGACACCCCGTGAGGTAGGCGGTGCTGAGAGAGCCCTTTCCAGAACCGTCCTCGAGAGAACAGGTCTATGGCTTGCCCAAGGTCATCCAGCAGATGCAAGTGGAGGAGTGGGGAATCAGACCCAGTTCTCCCAGATTAGAGTCCGCACACTCAACCACTACACCAAACTGGCTCTAGGAAGCCTCTACAGTAGTTGTTGTTCTTGTTACTAATAAGATTTTTACCCCTGCCTTCCTGCCCACATACGGTCACCAAGGTGACTAGTGGATTAAAACCTACAACTTAAAATCTCATGCCAGTTTGGTGTACTGGTTAAGTGTGCCGACTCTAATCTGGGAGAACCGGGTTTGATTCCCCACTCCTCCACTTGCACCTGCTGATGTGACCTTGGGTCAGTCACAAGCTCTGGCACAACTGTTCCTGAAAGAGCCGTTTGTGTCAGAGTTCTCTCACCCCCCCCCCCCGACCTCCCAGGGTGTCTGTTGTGGGGAGGGGAGAGAAAAGGAGTTTGTAAGCCGCTCTGAGACTCCAAGTGAAGGGCGGGGTATAAATCCAATCTTTTCTTCTTCTTCTTAAGAGCCATCAAAACCAACACACCAATATATCATTAAAACAAGTTCAAACTAGAACTTAAAATACATAGAAAAGATTTAAAAAACCAAGAGTTTAAACATTGGGGAGAGGAAGGAGGGATCGCTGAAGGAATGCCATACGAAACAAAAAAGTCTTCGCACGCTGGGGGTAACCCAACACATAAATTCTGAGGATCCATGCCTAGGAACCATGTCTTTGTACTGTCGTGGTGCCATGAAGCAGTGGATTTGTGATTTTTCTGGAAGAATCTATGGCTATGGACATGATACATGAGGAGAAGGAGATTGGATTTATACCCTGCCCTTCACTCAGAGTCTCAGAGCTGCTGACAAACGCCTTTCCCTTCCCCCTCCCTGTGAGGTGGGCGGGGCTGAGAGAGCTCTGACACAAACTGCTCTTTCAAGGACAGCTCTTTTCAGAACTATGGCTTGCCCAAGGCCATCCAGCAGCTGCAAGTGGAGGTGAGTTTGGGACGACTTAGTACAAAAATCCTGAGGATCCATGGGGATATGTGGTTCGGAACCACATTTTTGTGTTGTGGCAGTGCCACGAAGAGGCGGATCCGCAATTTGTATGGTGCAAGCTGTGGCCACGGGCATGATATGTGACTGGATACTGAATCTAGGGTGACCAAAAGTACAAATCCTGAGGATCTGCCCTTCAGATCCATATTTTTGCACCATGGTGGTGCTACAAAGCAGAGAATCCATGTCTTTAATGTTGCAGTCTGTAGCTCTCGACATGATACAAGATTTGATGGGGAGTTTGGGGTGACTCAAGGTAGAAATCCTGAGGATCCTCATGCTTCAGAACCACAATTTTGCACCGTAGTGGCACCACAAAGCCGTAGCCAAGCGATATTTGTGCTGCAGTCTGTAGCTATGGACGTGATGTGTTATTTGATGGTGAGTTCAGGGTGACACAACACAAAAATCCTGAGGATCCACGCTTTGGAACTATGTTTTTGCGCCATGGCATTGCCACAAAACGGTGGAGGCATGATTTTTGTGGTGCCGCCTATAGACTAAGCCATGGTTTACTTATTTATTTCACATCCTGCCCTATCCCGCAAGCAAGCTCAGGGGGGGGCTCAAAGCATACGAATGTAACAATTTAAAGGATTAAAACATAATACAATAAAATTAAAATTTGGCTTTGTACATAAATCAGCAGAATATTGACAATAATCCAGTTTAAATACTTCCAGAGACTTTAACCCCTGTATGGGTGCTTGGATGTACTAGTTTTTGCAAGTGGACATATTCCCACCAATTCATGTATGAGAGTTCCTGTGCATTAGCAAGGTAAATAGAATGATGGTGGTTTTATGTTGCTTCGGTGAAAACATCATCTGAATGCATGGGGATCAGTTTAAAATTATCTTAATCCAACTTCTACCCAGCTCATGTGAATCTGCCTGCCAGGGCAACTGGTCAGCCACTGCATGAAACAAGCTGCTGCACCAGTTGGATGGCTGCTGGGCCAGTGACAGCCAGTTTGGTAGAGTGGTTAGGAGCCCGGACTCTAATCTGGGAGAACCAAGTTCGAGTCCCCCACTCCTCCACATGCAGCTAGCTGGGTGGCCTTGGGTCAGTCACAAGTTCTCTCAGAGCTGTTCTCTCAGGGGCAGTCCTCGAAAGAGCTCTCTCAGCCCCACCTACCTCACAGGGTGTCCGTTGTGGGGAGGGGAAGGAGATTGTAAGCCGCTCTGAGAATCCTTCAGAGAAGTGAAGGGCGGGGTGTAAATCCAATCTCTTCTCTTCTTCTTCCTTACGTAGACGGCAAGGGAGCCAGGAGACTCCTACTGTCATCTGCGACCATCTTGGAGCACTTTACTTTGTAAATATTGAAATTGTGTGTATTTATTTTCTTTTTATGTATTTGGCATGCGTGCCCTGATGTTAGCCGCCCTGAGCCCACTTGCGTGGAGGGCGGCCTAGAAATCGAATGATAAATAAAATTTATTTTAAGCCAGGAACTCTCTCTCCACCCAGGTTAGCCTACCTTGCAGGGTTGTCGTGAACATAAAACAAGACAACCACAGCCACTGCACCCCAAGCTCCTAGGAAGATGAGATTGAGTGGGGGTAGGACGAATGGGCCTGCTGCCCACCCCCCTTGTAGGTTGGACAAGTCAGAGCAGACTCCCTTCTCCTAGGACCTGGGTTTCAATCCGCTTCCTG